GGGGGGGGCAGGGTTTCGGCACCACGTACCCCCTGCCTGTCTCGTGTACCCCCAGGGATACATGTACCACAGATTGAGCAACTATGCTGTAGACTGTAAACAAACTGATGCAGAACTTTTTACAAAAACCGATAGTCTTAAAACAAATATATTTCTGTTCCAGAGGAGACTGAGTTTCCACTCATGTATTAAGAGGCCACTTAAGATGTGTTTGTAGAAGACAGGCACTCATTTAAGTCCTTCAAATAGCACCAGCCCTTTCCCATATCCCACTAACTTCAGCATATAAAGGCACTGCTTAAATCCACTTAAGCGTGCTTGCTATTTCACAGGGAAATAACTTGGAGGCCAGTTTTGGCACCTCATTAGTGTTGGTTACATAGGTCCTCAAAGTGTTTGACCTCTGCTCAGTCCTGAGCAGCTTCATAAGGCTGGTTTGGTTGTTACTCAAAGGCCTGGCCTGTAACTCCAGCTTCAAAACTGAACAAATTTAGTTAGATTCAGTGCTCTTACTAGCACAGGAGTGACAGTGCTTGATATAGGCTAGAAGGGCTTATTCCCAGCTCTGCATATCAAGCAGTTTTCGGATCACCAAATGAGCCTGCTATATGCGGCTTAGACTACAAACACCAGTTCAAGTCTGACATTTTCCTCTGTCTCTCAAAGGCCCCAACTATGAGATACCATGATAATGGTGGCAGAGAAAGCTTGAAACAAGATGCATCTTCAATGCATAGAAGAGGAGTAAACTCTTCTATGTCTTTGTTTCAGAAGAATCAGGTTCTAACAACAGGGAGACAGAATAAGCATTGAATTTCATTGTGACAATCTCCCTATATTACAACCCTTTCCTTCTGCAAATCCCTTCATGGCCACTGACAAAGTAGGGTGTCAGAAGTCCTTTAGTCATTTTTGCTGCCCTCTAACCATTTTTGTTGCCCTCTACTGAACTCTTTCCAATTTGTCCACTGGACACACTACTCCAGATGTGGCCTCACCCGTGCCGAACAGAGGGGAAGAATCGCTTCCCTGGATGTGCTGATAACACTCCTACTCATGCAGCCCAGTATGCCCGTAGCATTCTTTACAATAAGAGCACACTGTTGTCTCATAGTTAAGGTTTTAGATAGAGCTAAATGCAGTCCACAGGGCTGTGACATAGGAGAGAGAGAGACATTACCAGGAACGGCTAACAGAGCAGAATTGCAGAAGAAAGAATTGTTTGAAGAGTGGATCATGAAGAGCCTTAAAAAGGAGAAAAGGTCATTAACACTTGTGAAATGAAGAGAGATTAGCAAGAATCATGTCGGTTATAAAGAGGAGGGGTGGGTTCAGGGGGGAATGTAGTTGCACCCCCTTTGATTCCTGTTCCACCCAAAGTTTAAAACCAACTGCCCAACAGCGGCAGCAACATTCCTCGTCAGGCAGTGCTGAAGGAATCACTTGAGTTCATGGCTTCTTATAGTTTACTTGATCTCTTCTAAGCTCTTCATTCCAGGGGCATTAAGGCCCCTCTCCTCTTTTGAAAGGCCTTGATGGCGCCACTCATCAAGCCAGTTTTCATCCTGCGACTCTGCTGTTTGTTAGCGGCTCCTGGGCACACTGCTTTTATTTCACAACCCTGCGGATAGGTTGAATCCATTGCAAGGAAGTTTTTGTTAGGTTTTCTTTGCTTCCATCTTAAACTTAATAACACAGCTGAGGGCATATTAATAAAGCTCTTAATGTCTTCTGAACAGGAGAAAAATGTGTGTTGTGGTCTGTGTGTGTGAGAGCATGGGCAGCTCTAGAACACAGTTCAGATGTGCACCCCCCTGCCCCATAAAGAGGAAAATGTGTTCATAGAATGCTGTAAAATGAGGAAAGGGGGGGGCGTTCAGGAGGTTATCTAGTCCAACATCCTGCTCAAAGCAAGACCATCCTCAACTATAGCATCCCATCCAAAACTTTGTCTAGGTAGGACTTAAAACCCTTCAAGGATGGAGACTCCACAACCTCCCTGGGTAACCTGTTCCAGCGCTTTATTATCCTCCTAGTGAGAGAGTTTTTCCTCATATCTAACCTAAACTTCTCTTTCCTACAACTTGAGACCATTGCTCCTTGTTCTGTCATCTATCACCACTGAGAAGAGTTTCGCTCCGTCCTCTTTGGATCCCCATTCAGGGAGTTGAAGCTGCTATTAAATCCCCCCTCAGTCTTCTCTTCTGCAAACTAAACAGCCTCTCCTTATAAGCCATGTGCCCCAGCCTCATCATTTTCATTGTCCTCAGCTGGACTCTCTCCAATTTGTCCACATCCCTTCTGTAGTGGGGGGCCCAAAACTGGACACACTACCCCAGATATGGTAAATAGAGGGGAAGAATAATTTCCCTCCATCTGCCAGCAATGCTCCTGCCAAAGTAGCCCAGGATGCTGTTAGCCTTCTTGGCAGCAAAAGTACACTGCTGGCTCATATTCAGCTTATGGTTCCCTGTAGTCCCGGGTCCTTTCCTGCAGAGGTGCCTGCCCAGCCAGTTAGCCCCTAGCCTGCACAGCTCCTGGGCCTGTTCTGCCCTCGGAGCCGTGAGGGGAGCGGACGCCGGGGGAGCAGAGGGCAAGAGCCAGAGCAGCGCGCTACCCCAGGGAGCCCCCTTCAGCAAAGAGGCTTGAGGCGCAGCCCGGGCGTGCCGGCCGGCAAGTACTAGCTGCGCCTTTAAAAGGCTGCAGTCCAGCCCACCCACCCCCACCCGGGGCTGGCTGACGTGGGTAGGAGGTGCCTGCAGCAAACAAAAGTGCTGCCTGCCGCGGCGCAGCAACAAGTGCGCGGGGCGCGGGCGCAGTGGATTACAGCGGGGGCGGGCTCCGCGGGG